CCCACAAAAATATAGTGGCTGTACTTTCACCACATCGTAAATCTTGATAAGATCCATGAAAAAGGAATGGTGTACATGTTGAAGATCATCACATTATTTCTAAATAGGTAACATGGAGACGTCATCGTTTTGATTATATCTCATTAAAACTGCAAGTATGTCAATTTTCAGAAACACAGACACACCACAACTATAGCAAGACGATGCCTTTCCAGATTCCGTTATATGTTTCTAGAATATCAGGGAATCTACCGAAGATGGAGGGAAAACTTAAATCCTGTTTCTGCCCTTGTCTCCCAATTTTTTCTGTAATTTTTAGAGTTTAAAGAGAGATCATTGGTCTCCAACGAACAATTTGAAGATTAAAACCAATGACAATTCAGAAACATGTACACTGTCCTTAATGTTATTCACTTTCACCTTGAAAGTAATAAAACATCATCCCTGTTCTTACATGGTTTTTATTGTTACATTCAATGTTCAGTAATTTCCTTGTAAGCTTGAGACACAGTTACACTCCAACAATGTCAGGGAGGCGTGGGAAAATCCACTGTAGCTGTAAACCTTGCATTTACTTTGGCTGGTATGGGTGCGAGAGTTGGTATCTTTGATGCTGATGTGTATGGGCCTAGTTTGCCTACAATGGTATCCCCAGAAAATCGGTTGCTTGAAATGGTAATTTACCAATCTTTTGTTGGAACTGCTTTCTTTGCAGCTTGTATCTCACTATATGATGACAATTGAATGGCATCTGTAGAACCCAGAGAAGAGAACCATAATCCCAACTGAATATATGGGAGTTAAAATCGTATCTTTTGGGTTTGCTGGACAAGGCCGAGCTATAATGCGTGGACCAATGGTTTCTGGTGTCATCAATCAACTGCTGACAACTACTGAATGGTATTACATTTTTTCTGCATGCATTGCCAACTATTGCCTTTGTTTATTGAACATATTTATTTTTTCATGGGGGTCTTTTTTGTTGGGCTTGCAATTTTCTCTAGCTAATTTACTCCTGCAAATGACATGGTGAACTTGTGGCACAGAAGAAAGTCATGATCATCATCATCATCATCATCATCCCTTACGTACCCATTTCTATATTGGAAAATTATTTTGATAGATATTAGTATGAATTTTAAATTCATTTTAACAAATAATATTAATGGTGGAAATATTCAAGACGCTATATGTATGAAATATATACGATCTACCTACCATGCAAAGATCAATTAAATCAAATAAATCTACCTAATAAGAAGATGTATACGGTATTCCAACTTAATGAAAATATACACTACCCTTCTAATATTTATAATATACATGTCTACGTGGATATATTAATTTATATGTATATACTAATAGTTGACCATGTGCACATGCACATATATAAATTGTGAAGTATTATAAATTATGCGTATATATAATATTAAAATTAAAAATAGACAATGTATACATCACATTTTGTAATTTTGATTATTAACAGATGAACAGTATAAAAGTAAAATATTTAACTATACACATGAATCTCTATATTGATTGCATAAAATGTAATACATAACATATTTTTTTATTACTGAGGGGTTATGGCCAATTAATTACCAAGAAAAATGTTGAAGCAATCAATAATATTTATTATTATTATTGTTATTATTATTATTATTATAGAAATTGTTTAAGGGTTTTTCCATGCCATAAAATTAACTATATGAATACTAAATAGTTTGAAAAAAAAATGCAATGTAATTTTTCATTATTATGTAACTTACTTATATCATTTAATGTAAATTATAATTAGTCGATGTTCGTAATAACTATAGTATGATAGAATAATTAATAAAATATGATTACACTTAAGTAATATAAAATGTAACGATTTTACCATAATTGGTTGAAAAATGAGCGGGGAATTGTTATTTGTATTAATTTGATAGCCTGAAATTATATATAGATTGACAGGATTTTCAAAGCAGTTACACCATCATTTATCGACTTGTTAAAATCTAAGAGCATCTCCAATGAACAACGTTGACAGAAAAAAAATTAACTGACCCAAGTCCAGTTCATCTAAAACCCAAGTTAAACGGACCTGCTTCCCCATTTACTACAACCATTGACTTGATCAACAATGTTCCACGTTCTTGCACTTGCATCGCTAACGTTAGTTAATGGAACAAAATGCCCAGTTTGGCAAGTCTGCACGGTATGGGCAACTCTTGCTGGGATATCTAATATCCTACCCCAAAAATCACTTCAACTCATACTAGTTTCAAACCTGAGACATGTTTCAGGCTCGCCATGTTGGTCTAAACTCTAAAGAATTAATAAAAAGGGCAGATAATACTAGTAATGCACATGGAGCACATGGTAACCCTCAATTACTGGTGAATAGTTAGTAGAGGAAATGGTTATGCCTTTTAGTTGTCTTCAACATCAAAACTTAATCCTGATGTTTATTCTGTTACATTCATTTTGCAACTTCTCATTCGATCACACTATAAAGAGCTTCAATTAGTGTCGTGTGTTGCTGTAATCTTGGGAACTTGTTGATACACACATCAGAAATCTTCTTTATCTTTCTTCAAATGTGTTCCCTGCTCAAGTTGTCTGTCTATGAATGAAGGGGCGAACTCGATTACCTAGTCATAGACATGCCCCCTGGAACAGGCGATATCCAGCTTACATTATGCCAGGTGTTGGTTTTATGCTCTTTCTAGGTTGTATTTTACTCTTACCATTTCCTGGTGGTACATTTAATTGAGGTCGAGTGAAACTTTCAGGTTGTCCCATTGAGTGCTGCTGTTGTTGTCACTACACCGCAGAAGTTAGCATTCATTGATGTTGCAAAGGGAGTTCGCATGTTCTCTAAGTTAAAGGTAAGCTAAAGACCAGTTTCTTTTATTCTTTCATATGCATTCTATGCAGCATAATAAAGAGCCGACTTTTGTTAATGATTCCTTAATTCATAATTATCTATTTTTTTTTTACTTCTTTAAGAAATCTCTGTATGAACTGATTAGAACTGCATGTTCTGTTTTCAGGTACCTTGTGTTGCAGTTGTTGAGAATATGTGCCACTTTGATGCTGATGGGAAACGCTACTATCCATTTGGCAGAGGTTCGGGCTCTCAGGTTTTTCTATTGCTCGGATATTTTATCTAAGTGTTACCTTCGTATGATGTACTTCAGGAGTTATGTACTGTCACTGAAACAAAAATCATGGAACACTAAGGAGTATCAGCACTCGTTTTTGATGAACTCATTCGATAACATTTTTGCAGGTGGTCAAGGAGTTTGGAATCCCCCATCTATTTGAGCTTCCTATAAGACCAACTGTGAGTTCCATCTATGATCATCTTAACAATGTTGGCATACATTTGGTAGTTGTCTCTTAAATTTAGAACTAGTGCAGTACATTTGAATTGAAGATATCTTCTACTGTTTTAGGTTTATTGACTAGCTGTTCACATGTGATGGCTCACAGAGATGCACTTTAAAATCAGTTTTTTGTACGAAGCTTTACTAATGTGCTTGGATAATAAAAGATAAATATGGAACCATAACTTGTAAAATCTGTTTCTCTTTCCTAATTTTCAGTTACAGTGGACGACTGGTATAAAACATAATATGTTGATTCCACTGTTTATGCTTTTTTACTGCTTTCATGTCATATTTATCAAGATTGTTTTCTATGGAATAAATTAAATCGTTGAAGCATATGACATTATTTTAACTGTTGAATTATATTATTTATGTTGTCCTGGTAACATATCCAAACACGTGCTACTGTATCATATTTTCTTGTGCATTTTTGTAATTATTTCGCATTCAGTAGGCTTAGAGGTTGCTTCAATTCAAGTGGTTTTCTTTATTTCTTATGATCTAAGGAACAAAATGAAAACAATTTGTTTTCATTATGAAGGTATCAGACAATGACAAGTTCTAAGAGCGCAGATTGTCGTGCACATCTCCTTTCATTTGATTCAGTAGTTATGTGCTTTAAAGAATGTTTACAACATTTCATTTGGATTTTCTCTTTCTTTTTGATAAATGGGTTGGATAGAACTCATTTCCAAAAGCTAGTTCAAATGGAGAGTGCATAACCCACACCTATACAAAATAACAACCCGGGGGACAAACGTAACTTCTAACACCTGCTGTTATGGCGTAGCGTGCCAAACCAATGGTCAGGTCCAAACCAGCATAACGTCCAAACAAACAAACCTGAGTGCTCTGATACCATGATAAATGGGTATGGGTAGAACTTATCCCCAAAAGCTAGCACAAAGGGAGAGGGTGGCAAACCCACTCTTATGCATAATAACAACCCAGTAACTAGTTGATGTGGACAAACATAACTTCTAACACTTCTTTTCCCCATTTTCACTCACATACATCTTTTGTTGGACTAACCATTATGAGAACAGAAGTTTCAAGTAAAGTTTTCTACATAAGTTGATTTTTAAACTTGTATTACTGTCTCTTGTAGATTAAGCGTATGTTCATCCTAATAAACTCATATATTTGTTGGATTTCAATCCGCTAAAGCTAAAAATAAGGAAATATATGAATGGATTCGTTTATTTTTTTCTATGTTAGTGAAGGTCTCAGCTATGAATAATCTAAACGCAGATATTCTAAGAAAGGATGGATTCAACTGTATTTATATGCCAAAACACATGTTATCTCTCTAAATATTCTATAATTTGATGAGTGCATAATTCGAAATATTCATAGTTCGCACATGACATCTCTATTTTATTTTACCTTTGTTTTGTTTTGCTTGATTTGTTTCACTTTAAAAGAATATAACTGTGGATATTTTATGTGCTTTATATTGTTTTATTACTCAAAACATCTGTGGTATTAAAATTCTGTATCAAAAGGTTATAGTTTTTCTAACATTATATATTTGTTAATTAAGCACATGAAACATTATTGTGCCTTTAGTTGCTATGATATTTCATTTCAAATGGAGTTTAGCTACCTATAGCGGATTTGCAATTTTAGGTTAAATCTCAACCATTCACAATAGCTATTCCACTCTTATTACTATTGTGCAACATCAAGAGTAGGAGTGTCAATTTTCTGCTCTACGAATAACAGATATTTGTACATTAAAAGCAAAAGTCATGTGAGTTTATGACACTAATTGCATGGCAGCTATCAGCTTCTGGAGATAGTGGAGTACCCGAAGTCGTGACTGACCCTCAAGGTGATATAGCGAAAACGTTTCAGGATTTAGGCATCTGTGTGGTTCAACAGTGCGCCAAAATCCGCCAACAAGGTATGCTAGTTTCCCTTCTTTAACAATAGTTGATATATCTGTTACAAGTAGCTGATTATCTATAGGTCCATGAGTCAGCAGATGCTTTTGCTGATCCATTGTACTTGATGCTTGTTATACAGTGTCAACAGCAGTAGTATACGATAAACTTATGAAGGCAATTAGAGTAAAAGTACCTGAATCAGATGAAGAATTTTTTCTGCACCCTGCAACTGTGAGACGAAATGATCGATCTGCAGAAAGTGTGGTACGTAAAAGAATATTCTCACAAAGGACTTCTGAAGGATAAGAAAACAAACTAGTTGTGTATGCAGGAAACATACGAATTATTAAGATGAATGGTTGTGAACATAAATCTAAAAGGTCTTTCCGAATGTGAATCTAAAAGTTTTGTTTTAAACACTCCATGATATATGCCTTCATAATCTACAGATGATTACTAATTCTCCGTATATGTTTCTTGAAGAATCCAGTGTTTTGTGTGGAAACAAATTGGAATGTAATTCGTTCTTTAAGAACAATATCAACTTCCAAATCATCTATAGCAAACTTGATCTAAAACCGGTTGTTCAAGTTTCATATTCTAGCCTCTTTTATTTATTTCCTCATTCTTTTTTTTTTTTCCTCTCATTTTTAATAGCATCCGCAGTTCTGAAACTTTATAAATACGAAATAACTATTACATAGAACTTAAAGAAAGAAATATCAATCAGAATGATAACACAAGAATTACCCAGACAAATGGAAGTTTTCTGAAGCTTAAAAGTTAAAATGAAACCAAAATGCCCCAAACAAACAGGCCTTGAAACCCATCAATACTGTCACTAAAAGGCCCAATTAAACAAACTATGTGAATCTTGAAACCCATCAATATTGTCACTAAAAGGCCCAATTAAACAAACTATGTGAATTCTCGTTGGTGGAACCATCTTTCTCCCGACAATCAAAATTCCTCTTATTGAGAGTGTTGGGTTGAGTTGTGTTTTGGCCGACATTGCCTAGTTAATGGGTTGTTATTGTGTATAAGTGTGGTTGTGCATTATCTCCTCTTGAGCTAAGTTTTGGAGATGAGTTGTATCCAATCCATTTATCGGACCACTCTAAATTCTGTCATGAGTATTAACTCCATCATTCCTTGGTACCTCATTTCCCATATTGTAGTTAAGTGTTCATATAAGCTTCTCGAAAGCCTCTGAAGCTTGAACAATAAGGTACCAGCACACACTTTAATATCCAAACACTCTTAAAAGAGTTGTTTTATGTAAAAAACTGATTCTTAACTTCATATGTATCTGAAAATGATATATTATATTGAGAATGATTGTAAACACACATCCATTTTCCCTTACATGTGATAAATATTTTGGAAACATACATGCTGAAATCCAAGGTTGTAAAGATGGGTAGAAAATATGTTATAATATAATTCCAGCATGAAACCTTTTTGTTCCTTGAATAAACTGAAAACAAATGTTGTATTATTGGAAGAGTTCTTGTTGATGAAAAACTTACGAATGTAATGCAAATAATTCCACTCGACTCTTGTGGTTTCAAACTGTTTTGTTCAACTATTTTGTTTCCGATTACAGGATGAATGGACTGGTGAGCAGAAACTGCAGTACACGGACATCCCAGAGGACATTGAACCTGAAGAAATTCGTGCTATGGGGAATTATGCTGTATCCATAACATGGCCTGATGGATTTAACCAGGTATTTATCTGACATTGTTCAATCGCTCAACTGTCGATATTTGAACAAATACTTTTGTTTAAGGAAATCTCTTGTTAGATGTGATATTTTAGCTCTCCTATAGATCCTGTGATATCTCAAAGCACTATGCGCGTACCTATTAAGAACATTTTCCATAGCTATAGTTACTTTAAGGTGAAGATCGAACTTCCAATATCTGTTACCAATGTAATATACTTCACTGATTCATTAGTTTTCTTAATGAGGACATAAGACCCACTGGTAATTACAGGTGAGTGACAGTGATACACTTTTTAGTCTTCGGACTCTTTTCTCCCGCTAAGAGTTTATACTAAATGCACAATAAGAAATTACCACTATACTGGGACTTTACACTAGTCAATACACAATAAGATAATCTTCTCATACACTTTTTAGAATCATGTTTATAGTAATTATCTAATTTAGTTACCAAATAATGAAATATACTGATTGCCTGAATTTTTCATTTACTTTTTAACTATAGCTTATATAAAATATTCCCAGAATTAAGTGAGATTAGTAGGTTAGCCTAAGTTGTGTTTGAAGAACTATTATGGGATTTGCGATCCTAGGTAAGATGGAGCCAGGATTATGGGACCCTTTTTGCTTTATTTATGTTATCAAATTATCGTCGCCCCAAATTTGGTTTCTTCTTATTGATGGTGTAACACCCCGCTTATCAGAGTAAATTTTTCGCAACTTTTACTTCGAATATACTTAATTCTTTCGAAATCTTTTGCTACTAACTCGGGATGCTACTCAAACTCATCATCTTGAAAATCCGTTTATCTTTAAACTTTTGTCTAATACTTCTTTATACATAATTAAAACAGATTTCCTTTAAACTTGCATTTTAAATACCATAATCATATTTCTCATAATGGTAAAAAACTTGAAATCTGAAATTCATTAAAATGCAAGTTCAATACCCAATGTGCATAGCGGAAATACTTAAAAACGTGGTTAATTATACAGACTGTTTTAAATGTCCATATCAAAGCTTGTCTTCATCTGAGTCCACGATCCACACCAACATTGCTCCACTCACACCTCCTCTTCGACCTGTTACCTGAAACTAAAACTCATGGGGGTGAGTAACGAATATGGATAATCATAAACCGATATCTGATCGGTAACTTAAACTTTTCTCTTATCTTGCCGATAGTTAATCGGATACGTGTGCACACTCTGATGGATATTTCTAAGGCACCTAACGGCCTCCATCAGAACTTAGGATATAATCTCTGAGAACAAATTAATGCCTCCTCATCCCAAGCGTAATAAACTTAAACTTTAGGATATACTCTGAGACAACTGATGGTCTCCTCATCCCATATGACATCAATATCGTACTCAACGTGATACCCATTCAGGGTCCCCACCTTTTTGTCTTTGAAATCGTTTGAAAAACGATAAGTGCTGTACTGGTACTGTATCTGCAAGTTCCATCAAATATAAACAAATATACTAAGTACTATGCTCGTATACTCAATAATATGCTAAGATGCTTGACTCTATCAGATAACTTATCCGGATATAATGGAACACTCTAACGGTTCTCTAAAAATAATACTATGTCCAGAATTTAATACTGATATTCTTAACTAAACTGATTTGGCTCGGAAATATACTCCAATTTCGCAATAAAACTCGGACCGAAATACTCGAACCAAAATAACTTGAACTACCGACTAGTTTTACTTACTCGAACTGGAACCTTATCTAATTACTCAACTTATATATATATATATATGACTATATTTACTGAAGGTTTTTCCCAACCAATTTTCATAATTTAATTCAATCTAAATTAAATTAACAAATTCTCAAAACTCTATAATTTCTCAAAAATCACACATAACTCTAAAAATTATGAAATATGGCAATTAAATCGTACACATACTCAAGTTCTTTCTGTTCAAATTTCAGCTAAATAACACATCAATAGCTCATACAACTCAAGTGCTATATCATAACACAAAATTATGCAATTTACATGTGAAACTTTAAACAATTTTATAAAATTGAATACTCAATTTATTAAACTAAAACTTAGTCAAATTGTTCATCACTCGTGTGAGAAATTTACATAAAAGTTTCATGTTAAAAACTCAAAGATGGACTGAGTACTCTTGGGTATAATATCATCTTGACATGCCTGCAGTCTAAGCATTTTATCTCATTAATTTCTCAACCTAAAATCATGAAATTTGGCAGGCATGCTCTCAACATATATGTAAACATGTCATAAAAATTTCATGTTTTTATCATACATATAAGTTGACTTATTTGAGTTCAAAGTACACATTTGAAACTTGGCATAAAAACTCGATTTGCATGATAGACTTTAAAAATCTATAACTCGAGCTATACTTGAACAAATGACATGATTCTTTCACCTAAATGCCCAGCACTTAAAAAAAAAATATTCATTACAAACACAAAATATAAGGTTGTTCATTTCCTGCTCAAAGTCGAATAGAAACATTAACAAGATAACATGCATGCGAATTGGTTAAAGCTTTACTTATTGCATGTTCAAAATGATTTAAAAGCTGAACTTCTACAGCATCAAGATACATAATTAAACACCTTATCTTAGCTATGAAGTATGCTAAAAAGGTAAGATAACACACCTCTTTAAAACCTTCAAGAACACCTCATTAAATTTGATTGTGCTCTCGGTTCCTACTCTTGAACTTGCTCTCAACTTTTTATTATTATTATTATTATTATTTTAATATGAAATATATGATTTTTATATGATAGCTTGATGAAAAATCTGATACAAATGCATCCTCTATTTATGCACGAAGTATGTCTTTAGATTAATGAAAATGACTTACCAAATTTTCTAAACAAAATTATAAAAAAAAACTTAACTTAACTTGTAGTATTAACTAAAACATAATGATGATGGATGATGGCTCATCAAATTCTCACGAAATATACAAAGGTGGCTATCAAAATCTGATGCAAATTGCTATGAGAGTGACTATTTCATCATTTAAATAACTTAAAAAAAAATATTAAAAATGATGACAAAATCTCATTTAATGCCTTGATTTCTCTCGGCATTATCTCTCAAAATGGCAAACATATATCGTCTTAAGGCTGAAAAATAGCACTTAATATTAATCTTGGAACAAGCTAAGAAACCAAGAAAAATAAAATTTACGGAATCGAATTCGAACTTAAAACGAACGATTACCGTAAAACCGAAAATCCTAAAATTTTAGATTTTCTCTAAAAATTTTTAATAGACTAAAATGTCTAAATAAATTTTCTCACTTCTTTGAACATTTATAACTTAAATGTTCACTGATACTTAACCGTACTCGAGACCTAACTTGTCTCGATTCATTATTCATTTTCTTTCTCATTCAAATTAGAAATGGCAAAGTTTACATCCATTTAGCTAAATAAAATGGAATGCTTGAGTGCAAGTTTAAAAGTCTTATCCACGAACTTATGTCTCAAAGACACATATATATAATATATCTCAAATCTTAGATAGTGACATGTTGTTATTAGGATAAGAAAAATAATAATAGTCATTGTCCATATATTAATTAGGCGTGCAAGCTAATGAATTAAGGAGCTGTAATCAGTTTTAAAAAATTGATTCAACTCTCACCCAATATGTCATATTCATTTAGTCAATTAAATATTGGTGCTAAATTATACTTTGAAAAGACAACTACTATAACATGAAATAGTTGAAAATAACAGCTTAATGAAACTAAAGATTTCAGCTAATAATTTCTCTCGAATAATTCTAAGAAGTGGAGAACATAAATTCTAAAATATCGAATTTGGACTTAAAACAAACGGTTACTGAATAAAATTTAACCGAAAATACTTTTAACTTAAATTCGAACTTATAATTGATTAACTTATTAACTGGCTCGGAACTAGGAACGAGCATGATTAATAAAATTAAATTAGTTCAAACTCGGAACTAAAATAATTACTTTTATTAATAACTGAATGGGATATTACAGATGGTCTGGGCAAAGCAGTCTCAGTCATAATGTAATTAAATATATCTTGCATTAACTAGTTTGAATGTACTTAATAAAAGTTTGATTACGATTATATTATTCCTTTAGTAAAGGATGTTTTTGCATACTAAAATTGTGGTTACGTTATACAAAAATAGGAGTCTTATGTGTTCTCCAGGAATATGCATATAATAAGCACAACCATTTGAAAACAAATATGGCTCTGTTAATAGCACTATCCTTACATTATCTAATGCTTGATTTGATAGCACATGTATGCTTATATTCAATGCTTCAAGTTCAACATTTGATGGCCCTTTGTTAATCCTTGCAGATAGCTCCATATGATCAACTCCAAATGATGGAGCGTCTAGTTGATGTTCCTCAGCTTCTCCACCAATAAAACTGCTGCAGAGATGCTTGAATGTCACGTTTGGTCGATTTATTTCATACGTTCATTAAACTTAATAGTTTTGGAGAATCTTTGTCTGTTTGATTGGCGATTCACCAAAATTTTTGTCCGCTTCATGAGCAGCACCATAAGCTAATGAAGCATGTTGCACAAGCTGATAGTTCTTTATTGTAATTTCCTTAATCTTAACTTCAATTATTATATTGATAGATTTTCCAAATTGTATATACAGGTTGTGTACAATTTTCTGCATATATGCTGTCCTAACAAAACATGTTTATGGCTGCAATGAGAGTGGAAATGGAATGAACATAGTATTCTAGATGTATACGATGTGGTCTAAATAATAACAATTAACCAACCTTGTATAAAAATTGTGAGCACACTACTTTTAATTATATGTATTGCTGTGATTAACTGAGTGTGGTAATTGTTTAATCAGGATTTATTTTTTTAAAACAATAGTACATATAAAATGTTAAGTGTAAATGATAGCACATATGGTATTCAACAAAATATCACACATAATTAAAAATGAGTTTCCTAGAAACTAATCTCCAATTCACATTTCAAGTTAGTGATTAGGCAAAATATTTTAGAATCTACATCATAGTCAAAAGAAAATGCTAAATGATACTAAGTGTTGTAAAAAAAAATAATATATCTATCTACACTATTATAAAAGGGGGAGGAATGATGTGCAAAAAATTACAAACAAAAAAGTCTTTATGTTTGCAATATTTTTAATGGCGAAATTGTAACCACAATTACTTAAATAAAAAAATTAATAAACATAATTTTAGTTGTTTGAAAAGGTAGAACTCTAAATTTAAATTACAGAGTTTTTATTTGAGAAATTTTTATCTCTCCTACATGATTAGGAAAATTTTGCTAATCTATCATACAAATACAATTACTTGCATCTTTACATAAAAGATAAGATCTATCTAAATTAATGCCTAAAATCAATAACCATATCATTCCAACCTCCACTCCTTGTTTTCCGCTTGATTTGCTTTGGTTACTAAAGAAAAATCTATACTTTTATTAAAGGGGGTACTATTTACTAAATTAAGTAGCCAGAAAAGTCAACAACATTTATTGCATTACTATTTCCGTATTATACTATATAAAAGGATATTCTATTTACTACATTTACTATCTAGAAAAGTCAACTGCATTAAATGTCATTACTATTTTGGTATTATAATATTTTATTTTTTTAATTGATTTATTTATTTGTTTTATTTTAAAAAGGTAAGTATAATAAAAATATTTTAATAATAAAGAAATCAAATACCAAATAAAAATGTACATTTTGACTTATTTGATTATATTTGGTTTTGATTATACCAAATATATTTCTATTTAGTATTTCTATTTGATTATACCAAATATATTTCTATTTGTCAAAGTTAAGTATAGATTTGTTTATATTATCAAATCATAAAAAAATATTAAATTCATATTGTAAGATAAAAAACATATAATTATATAACAATTCTACTACACTATTTAACAATATTTCTTTTGTATTATATAATAAAATAATAATTAAATATTATATGGTGAACAACAATAAGTAAAACTGTTACTTTCTCTTATATCAAGGGATAAATTTATATGCTAAAATTAAATTTTTATTAGTATAAATGTTTTAGTGAAATAATATATTAATTATTTTACAAGCTAGCTCTAACATGCTCATATTTAATGTTTTAAAAGATGTAGAAAAAAAACTTACAATAACTCTATTGTTTTTTAGACTTAAACGTTGATTAAAAGAGGTAAAAATTCCTAATTTTTTAGACTTAAACGTTGATTAACACCATAGATTGAGAGTTTATATTTAGTAAAATTCCTAATTGCAATAAAAAAAAATAAATTTTGCTATATTTTAGAATATCTTTAAATTCATTATAAAAAAAAAAGAAAAAAAAACTACAATGAAAAAAGCAAGTCAGCTATATATCGATTTGTTGTACTCCTCAAATCACATTCACAATTTGGCTACAAGGAAAGGAAACTCATTGATTAAAATATTATTTTGTCAGTAGTCTTAATGTACAAAAAACTTTAAGACTCCACTTGAATATTATAAAACTTTTATTGAACATTGTACAATTTCTTGCGTATTATAAACTTTTATTAAATATTGCATCTTATAATATAATATTCTCCAAATAAATATATCTTGTGCTCCGCACGGGTCACGTACTATATATATCCCGTACATTTTTCTTTATTCATGTATATAATTATAAGCCTGGATAAATAGCCTTAAAATTATGCACTCCGTGCATCGCACGGACTCTGTACTAGTCTTGATTAAGAGAGATAATTGAAAACATGCATATAATAAATAACTAATGTGCATTAATTATAAAATATAGAAACTCAAAGGACATGACAATAAATAAATTACATATTGAACCAAGGATCTAACTGCAGTAAGTTATAAGTTTTTTAAATTGCAACTTGGTCCCTACATTTTATCTAATTTACAAACATAAACCCAAATCTTCAATCAGCAATCTGAATTTTCAAAACACTGCCACCTTTTTCAAAAACCTACACCTTGAGGCGGACTCCGGCAGCTGCCTTTTTCTCCATCGAGGTCTCAAAGACGTCGTCGTGTAGCATTTGAAATCGTCTCGATGTCGTGTCTCGGCTTCTGCAAAATTGGACCTTAGGTCGCAACCTCCATGTTGCAGCTAAACTCGTCCAGCGATGTCTATTAAGCAGCCGCGTGCTAGAATTAAACCCTAGCCTTCTAAATATGATTTTTGTATCGCCGACTGGAGAACGAGATTTTCCAGTTCGCCGGCCGGAGAAGACAAACGTCGGCTGACGAAAACGAGCTTCATCGGTGCTTTGACCGGTCACTCCGTCGTCGACGAGGTCTTGGCCGAGCACGCCGGTAGAAAAAACGAGCTTCCCGACATTGTTGACCAACCAACGGCCGTCGGTCGGTGGTCAATGCCGGTCAACAAAAAATAAATAAATTTTGCAGAATGACCCAAGAAAGATAGACTGGGAAGAAAGACCTATTATAATAATTTATTTTTTTATTATTTAATTAATGTGTATTTCAATTGAATAATATGAGGCATTGATCTAGATAAAATCAACGGTTATGATTGAGTAACGTACTCATTTTAATGAGTGGACTCATTGGATCCACCTCATATATATAAATATATATATATATATTGTTATAATTTTGAAATAAAAATATATATTTTTTATATATATATATATATATATATATATATTAAAAGGTCAATTTATGGTCAAAGACCGATTTGCATTAATTATTTTTCAAAAACGGTAACTTTTATGTCCTTTTCACACGCCTCATTAACTCATTAATTACAGCGAATTAATTATCATAAATCATTCCATATGAGCTGTTATTATTACATTCTATATCAATCTGTTACAACCTTATCCCGTTGATATTTCCATTAAGCGTCCTTATCGCGTTATATTTTTTGGTAACCATTTTATATCAAGGAGCAGATATTTGGTTAATGATAAATTATAGAAACAAAATCTGTATTGTTTGAATTACCAGATATTTAGTTTGGGATAATTTACAGCTTCAAAATCCGGATACGGCCTTAACTTTGAATTTTTAAAAAACTCCTTTTTTTAATATTTTGGCTTAAAAATCGGATTTTATTATACCAGCCATCGGATTGTTTGGATTTTAATGTACACCCTATCACTATTCAAAACGTGTGCTACCTATTAGTTTGGAAAGAATCCCAATTTCGTTGGAATTCTAAAAATTAAGGAAACTTGACATACGGAGTAGTCTCCTAACTTATTTTCAAAATTTATGCTTTTTTGCCGATTTTTTTTTTTCAAAAGTCCACATGCAACATGATTGTCCAAGATTTTCTTGCGATTTGAAATACTCTCTTTAACAAGAATAATATCACTAACAACATATATATATACTCTCATTGCCACCATCACGCATTCACCGTATTACAAACGCATATCTTACAACAACAAAAAAAAAACACTTTCTCTGCAATGGATCAAGCATTTGGGTTAATTGAAGAAATTAATAGGAGCAAGAGACCTATGCTTTTAGTCCGCATTGTGAGGATGTTTTATCAAGATAAGGGCCGCACATACAAGTCGCATCTCGAGCTTATTTTGCATGATTAAAATGGTAGGCATAGGATTTCGATTTCATTTTTCACTACAAAAATATATGCATGTATTCATATTTGTTATTTACATATCATATAGATTACTTTTAAATTTGTCGTTTCAATTTATTTGTGAAGGGAAAACACATTACAGCGTGGCTAAGAGCAGTCTACTTGTCAGGGTTCAAAGAGAAGTCCTTTCAAGAGGGCATGGTCATTCTTATACGAAACTACCAAGTTGATAGCAACCTTGGTAGGTATAGATCTGCAGCTGGAGAGTTTAAGATAATACTACATGGGTGCACTGTATTTATGAAATGCAAAGACACTTCGTCTTTTCCTATGTTTCGATTTCAATTCAGAGACTTTGCAACTCTGCAAGACGTCAACAAAATAGACGAGTCAATTCGTTTCGGTAATTTTACTTTATACTGTTGTGAATATTATTTGGCGTATTTGATTTACTAATTATTTTTAAAAAATATAGAATAACAACCATTTTATTTATTTGTAGATGTCATTGGATTAGTTGTTGATATCCAAAGTGTACAAGACAAGCAGGTCAAATCTGGTGATACGCAAATGGTTGCCTTTATCCTCATGGACTTGAAGTGAGTACTTCTAATTAAAATAAATTCGAAATGTGTAGATCTTTTTCAAAAGCCTTATTAAATGTTTTGTTTTATAAATGTAGTGAAAATTTTATAAACTGCAATGTATGGGGCGACCATGTTGACCAACTATTGGCTTTTGAGAGCCACTATGAACATACTGGAGAACCATGGATTCTCATCATGCAGCAAGCACGTGAGAAAGAATACCTTAGTAAGTACATTAAATATGTCTTTTTTTCACTTTCAATACCTACGAGCCCACATCTAATAGCTTATTTTGATTTTGTAGAAAAAGTTCAAGTTACTACTTCTTTAAACGTGACTAAGCTAATTGCACACGACTCAGTGGAGGAGATCCATGACTTTTGGAGAAGGTTAGCTTAAATTATACCTTTATCAAATTTATTGATTTTATTATTTTATTTATAAAATATGTTGAAAGTACATTTATATTTGTAGGTACACTGCAAGCAATTTGAATAGGACAAAATACAATTCAAAGTAAGAAACTGTTATCAAGACTGAACTGGAGGAGTTGCAAT